CGGAAACTAACACTAGACTAGTAAACCAAGTACGTCGATTACTAATTTTATGTATAGACATTCAATTAGATTCAATTTATTAGACTTTCAAAGGCGTGTCAGATTAGTTCATTGGTGGAACGTCTGACTGAAAACGAAGGAACGGTTTGGTATCATACTCAGAGTTCACTACCCATACCGCAAGGGTTGACGCATGATAACAGCTTCAAGGGGGAAAAAGAGGCGAGAGGTTGTATCTGCCTTAAGCCTAGGTTTATCTTTAAAAAAAGAAAAATATGGCCATCGTAACTGATGGAACAGAAGAGAGAGTAGTACCGCATTATGATATCATAAAAAACGACCAAGTGCATAATGTGGCATATGAAAGAGTATGGACAACCGATATTGCAAAGGCTAAAATAATTTTTTCTGCATCTTTCAGCGATTCCAAGAAGACACTAGTGGAAACCACATACATCTTGCAAATGCCATTAAAGAACAGTGGCAAATTAGAAACATAGGAACAATCGTGTCATTCGAATTAACGTGTTCATCGTAGTCCGAAATATCAGCATATAAAGCAATATGGTAAGCGATTTAACTAAGGTGAATGAAAATATTGAGAAACTGTTGAAGCATCCTTCGAAACAAGAAATTCAGCATTCTTTTCATATAATGCGAAAGTTTAGAACTTAAGATGGAAAGTCAGTGAGGGCTTCTGATGCCTTATATACTTACAAATTGCAGTTTTAGACAAATATTCATTGCCAAGATGGTCCATAGTTTGACAATCAGTCACATACTAGCATTTAGATGTCTTGGAATTTCCATTTGTTCACAACGATGCGGTGAAAGGACGTCGCCATTAAGCAGCCATGGAATGAAATCTCACTATATCAAGTATCAACTTCGGCTCAAGTGAAATAGTCAGTAAGTGCTTTAAGTTCTGCGTGATTCAGTAAGCCAGTGTGGAACTCTTCACATTCAGATCGACTAATCGGTCCAGGTTAGAACGCCCTCCAAAACTGTTCTGAAAACAATCCATTTCTTGTGCATAGCGTGACCGTCAAGTTACGGCCACAGATTAGAGGTTATTTTTGCCTACATTCAACTTATGATCGTCTAGCACGTCTCTTCACTTCATCGGTAGGCAACAAATGATTCCTATCGCGAAAATGCAGTCATTACTTATCTTCATGGCATGAGACCATCCATGTATATTATTCCTTTTCGCTCATGCTCAATAATCGTTCCGGACTATCTTAGAAACACAAGGTCGCAATGATCTAAGCATAAAACCGATCAAACAGAAACGGACAACTTTATCCATGCGGCCATGTCGCTGAACATAAGACTTGCAGCTACAATGCTATCTCAAATGCAAAGATGATGGCGATTTCAGCAACTGTTTAACAAAATCCAAAGGAAGCACTAGACACGATCTTCTTCACAACCTCTATGCTTATTGTTTAGCCAAACAAGTTAGAAGAATTGCAAACGCACTGCATTTGTGTATTAGCACAGTTATGACAAAACAAATAGCCATACAGCCTAATTTTCAAACGCAGAACATGTACATCTTAAGGTTACGGTAACTTCGTCTTGTCATGTAAAATCGACAAAGAAACTGAATGCAAAACTATGATCTATTACTAAAAAAAACTTTTATATCTCCTGTTCATCAATGCATGAACACAAAACTGCAAAGCGGTAGCTTCAACGGATTGATGCCTTCGATCGCAGATTCAGCCATTTGTTCACCTACGGTAAAATTCATACAAGTTCAAACAAAAGTAAAAATTTAAATTATTCGACATTACCCTTTCTACTTCCAGAGGTAAGCATGAAATACTTCTTCAATCTATACATCAGCAGCTTTATATCAATTGCATTGACACGTTTTTCAAACAGTTCCAAATGAACTGCAACCAAGGCACTTTCTGAAATAAAATAATTTAAAAAATTAAGTAAAGAAATACATGCAAGTACAATCACGGCACTTCAAAAGCATAATAAATATAATACAGCAGAATGTAACACCGAATTTGTGACAAAAAAGGATCGTTTAAATGTTAGAAATAACAACTATCCTTACAACTACTCGTTATCGTATATGACCGCATCCAAGCAATCTCGGTATCCAACTAATAATCATTAAGAAAGCAAAGACATTTCTATTGGCTAACCAACGAAAAGCTAGTTTCCTAAATAGCTACGACCCAAGTAAACATTTACTAACTTTTACCTCAGTTACAAATAAAAATATAAATATTATATTCTTCTTCCATAGTCCTGAAGTAGATTAAATCTTAAACAACAGCTACAAGCCATTAGCCTATAACCAAAATTTGCCTTCGGCAGCAACAGCAAAAAGGAACGGCCAGGAAACAGGTGGCTGGCACCTCGATTGAGAGTGCAGCCAAAGTAACCAAAACAGATACTCTAGGAGATAAAAAACCACATAGGGGATTGCAAATAACTACTTATTCCGTGCTGGATACGATCCAAATGAACTGCTATCGCCAACTGATGATCAAAAATCGTCCATAGAAGACTATTTCTTGTCTTCCACTCAAGAATTAAAGAATTTTCATAAAACGAGTGAGATACATCAGCTTCTAGTATAGAGCTCCATTGATGATTTTCAGGGTGACGAGCATATATCTGCCGTCAAGTGTTACGTTACAAAGATGTTATTGCGACAACGGTTAAGTTTCGAATGAGAAAAACTTTTCGTATGTAAAATTCCTGAAAGAAAGGCGAAGCAGGTACTGCTTGCTCGACGGACCGCCCATAAAACTGGACAGATGACAAAAAAGAATTAGGCATATACTTAGACAGACTGTACTCGTGATTGAATCATCTTCTGCCGAGGCTGAAACACTGGTGTGCAACAGGGTACGTTGGAAACACTAACGTTGCTAACGCCGAGCCCCGAAAGGATAACCGAGTACCGTAACAAGACATTCCTCAAGCTTGAAGATCCAGAATGTCCTGCCACAAGAAATGAACTGAATATGATATTCAGAGTAATAGTTTCTTGTAAAACGATAGGTTGGTGACGCTCTTATTCAATACAAGACCCAAAGTGACGCCGCTGTTCGCAAATTGATTAAATTCTTGTTCATTCGCAAAATGAAACAAATTCGACTTCCGATGTTACTATAATTACTGGAAAAAGGAACAGACTATGACGAACATCGAGCCAACCACAACAACTGCCAACCTACCAGAAGCCCGAAAATTCAAATAATCAGTCAAAATCTGAAAAGTTATTGAGTAGGGACGTTTTACTGTTAAGGATTAGTTAAATTTTAAGTTATACCGACCAAATATACACCTAGTTCAATTTACCAGCAGGTGAAAGTTGAGGGGGTTCTTCATTTCCGAAGAGAGATGATAAAAAAAGGGCAATTCGCTTGAGATTAATATGGTATCGGTCGTCGACAGTTCTTATTTCGGACGGGAAAACACGAGTTTCAAAATACTTCCTGTAAGTTGCTGCCAACTGATCACTGGCGGCAAGCAGTTGGTCATCAGAATCGAGCCAGTCCTGAAGATATGAGTTTTTAATCATGACACACTTCAATTATCGATCTGACCTGAGAAGCTTCAATAATTGGTTCAATGGAAGAGGAACCCTCAGCCATATCTTTATCATAAGATACTGGACATTTTCTTCTCACTTCTGATCCAACACCGTCTATATCCTCCTTGGAATCCTCGTATTCAGACAACCTTTCTGGTAATTGACACCCAATTTCTCGAAAGTAGTGCAAGATCTGACCAAAAGTCTTGGTTCGAACAAAATATCGCACCTCAGCCATGTTTTCGGTTCCATACCTGAAAGAACAGATTTTTAAAGCTTATTACAAACATACAAACTTTATATAATCATAATCATATAAGAATCATTATTTACTGTAAAAGCCTCTACGTTACCTATGTTTGATACTTCAAAATACGGTAGCATGATAGCACGATGAAGCGAATAACTTGTTGGTTTATAAGAGAAAAAGGAAAATAGAAAAGAAAGATTATAACAAATGGGACATTTGTATGATGGTAAACGAGATCTACGGAGCCACAGCAAGGGAAAGAAATTGTGCTTTTAAACCTGGATGAAAGAACCTATTCAGTACGGGTGCAATCTAAGAAAAAGTAAGATGATAATAAGTGAAGTCTCCAAAATAGACTGAAGAAGCATAAAGGATAATTACATGGCAAGTTGTAAATTGCATGATTATAGATGATAAAAAAATTAAAACCGTAAATGTAGGCCATCCGCACCGTCGACCGTTAGTATGTACAGTCCCAGTAACAAAAAATACGTATTTCAGAACAACACCCGGATATTTTGCGAATTACTCCTCCTGAACAAAGTATTAGATGCAATACTAACTCGTGCAGCGCGAACAGCAGACGCTGTTTTTCTTCATGACTCCACGCAGTGATAGCTACTTTTGTCCTTGCCTTCCTCAAATCTTCTTTGGCTTGCAGCAACTGACTCTTCGCCTTAACGAGTTCTTCGTCCACTGGCTTAGGTTTCAAAGCAGGATAAGGTTTCTTTCTTATATAGGGGCGATTCGTACGTCTAAATAAACGTCAATTATAAAAGACAATTATAAATCAAATCAATTAACATAGCGTATAGATGGCAAATGTTTGCCTCAAAAAAATTTTGTCCTCAGCAATGAACCTGACCTTTACATGAAAAAAGTCGTCGTCAACAGCACAGGCAATTTCAAGGACTACTCCGAACGCTGCAACGGACGACAACTCAAGAACTCGTTCTGAAGCTAAACATTCGATAAGAATTCGAGCGAGCTTCTTCCGTAACTAAGTTGTCATCAACTTTAAACTACATCCAATCTTCTGGAATACGTGAATAACATCAGATCACTATTTTTCGGTGCTCAAAATTAATTTCAGTGACTAGACGGTCTTCACAGGAAGTATTTACATCATTCGTTCGATTCGAACAGTCTAAAATATAACCGAATTTACAGTAAATTGTGTGTGAAGAAGTCAACGCATTGAAAACGAAACAGAGCACGTTAACGTTAAAGAACAGCAACAGTCTACCTCCTGGACAGTGGATCCCCGTGCGGTCGTTTACGCAAAACGATGTCGTCAGGTATCTGACCGCTCATAGCCTTCTGGATTACTTCCCTCATCGTATTTTCGAAGGCCAGTTCTTTTTGCTTTTGGCAATAGATGTAATTTTGGTTATCTT